AATTCAGATGATGTAGGGTGAATATTTTTAGACTTGGCCCATTTATAGACGAAGAGAAATAAGTTCGGTTTGGGTAGGACTCAGATTTGATCATGCAAAATTGGGATTCTGTCAATTCCATGCTTCACGTGTCCAGAGGTACTAATGGGGGAAAAAAAGGGGACAATCTTCACATTTGCATTGGAGCAGGAGTTTTTCTCCTTTCACATGTTGAGCCAAAGCACCAACCGAAACTCCAGTCATCGTGCAAAAGGTCCACTTCCCCAAATTTGGCAGCGCGGTTTCCCCACGGGTTAAAAAAGAAGGCCTTGACCCAAATGCACCTGTTTGCATAAATAACATGCCCCAATGCACCGTATGAGGAAAGCAATTTGCAAATGCTGTGTATGTGAATAACAACGGTGTCCCGCTCTGCACGGGCATTCAGACCCTTGTCCTCAAACGCAGGCCCCTTTTAGCAAAGCGGATTTTAAAATCCTGCTCCAACACGATGGATGGATGGATGGATTTGGCTCCGGAGGAAAGGCTCCGGGGGACTTGCATGAAAAACTCAAACAATCAAAAGAACTGAAAGCGAAATGATGCTATGGGGAAGCACACGCAGAACAGTTTCTGCGATCCCTCGACACTGCTCCCTGGGCGGATGAACCAGATGAGTTTGACGAACCGCATTCTTGGCGTCATCAGAAAAAAAACCCCGAAACTGGGAAAAAACGACTGTGAACCGTGTGCAAGGAAATCCAAAGGGGGCAGCTGGGAAGACAGGGAGATGCTGACAGATGAGCGCCTCTGGGCCTGGAAGATGCCTTCGCGGTCCCTTCGCGCTCGTGACACTGGTTGCTAGGCGTCCTCTTAGTTTTCCCTTTTTGTCCTCCCGAACAGAGATTCGCCCCTTCCCCTTTCCCCTTCGGCTCTGCTCTGCTTCCCGTCCCCCCTCCTCAAAAGCTGGGGAGCTCCGTTAATTAGCGGCCCACCGAGGGCTTTGAATTCCGGGGAGGATTTTAATGTATAATTAATTGCTGTTAGCGCAGGCGGGCAGAAGGGAGGGGAAGGGAAAGGGGGGTGGCAAAGAATTGGGGGGGGGGTTGCCAGACCCTCTGGGCTGGCTCGCCTTGGAGAGCAGAAGGGAAAAACCAGAAGTTGCACAAGGGAGGGTCATTTCTGTAGCCATGTTCCTTCCCCCCACCCAGCTTTTCTTGACTTCTGTTTTGCAGTCTGGGGGAAAACCCTCCCCTTTCCCGGATTGCTCAGGCCCCCCGTTTCTCGGTGGATATGAACAGGGGTCAAATCTGCACCCAGGGTTGTATCCCAAGCTGTACAGATTGGATCGATGGCTGCTGGCAAGATTGCATCAGTTGCAATGTTGGGGTGAGGGGGGATGCGGTGGGAAAAGAGGGGGGAGTTGATTGGGCTGTCCAACCCATCGGTCCCAGCCAAGAGGAGGAGGCAAAGATGGGACTGGGAACACCTTTCCCCTGAATCAGAAACCAGCCCTCCAGTGCAGGACCAATAGAATGAGGTTCAATGGAAGCCAGAAGAAATGGCCTGTGGGGTGTTTCCTCTTTTCGAGGAATCTTTCTCCCAAATCTGGTACCCTGGACTTCAGCTCCCATCATTCTTGCCTGGGTATTGAGGTTCTAACCTATCCAGGGTGCAGCAGGGTGTCAGGAGGTGGCAGGAGAGCTGTAAAAGTTGGGTTCAGCGGCCAGTTCCCCAGCCAGCATCTGTGGGCCTCAACTCCCCCGATTCCCCCCCCCCCCCCGCTGGGGCGGGGGGTCTTGGGGGTGGAGGCCCCGCA